ATCTTCAATAATGAACTTTTTACTTATTGTACTATACTGAGCAAACTGTACTAGCCCAGATGCAGATAATGTATCTCTGAAATCATATTCTCCTCCTAATGTAAATTCGTCTTTACTTTGGATTGATCCACTGAAGCTGTGTATTTGTAAAAGAAGATACTTGAACATCTTATGTTGAGACCAAAACAAAAATCACAACTTTTTTTAATCTTCAATTGCAACTTTTGCAATACTGCAACTTTGCAACAGAAGTCTATTAGGAGGATGCACCTCAAAAATTTTATTCTACATTGCTTTTATTACCCTTTCCAGAAACGGATATAGAGTTAAGCATCTTTCTTTAAAGTGTGCAGGAAAGATCTTTGCAAATCTTCCCAGTACCATGAGACAGAGCTTGTAAACCTAAGGACTTGACAAATTCACCCACAGTGTTTTCAAGCGCTCCATTGGAAAAAGCCTTTCTTGGTATTGATTTTCTGATCTGTCCAAAGTTCACCTTTTTCACTGAAATGGGGAAAAAAGTGAGACAGATGAAAGCATATTAGATATTTTGGATTTTTTAGAAGTCTTAACAAGAAGCTTCTGAAAACCCAAGAGGAAAGAAAAATCTAACTTAAAGCTGGAAAGAGAATGCAATTTGGCAGAGTTCTAAACCCAAGTCTCATGCTTAACACTTGATTGTAGAGGATCATGTTCCTGATTGCTTCAAAGAGAAGCTGTGATGCTGGATGTACTAGGTATGTTAGAACATCTCATTAATTTCAACTGAATGTAAATAGAGAAGTAGACTATCTCATCACAGTAGGCATGACAAGATATCTGCAGATGAAACGGTTAAATAGTCAAGAAAAAACTGGGGATGGTTACTCCTCTAATTTTATGAAATCCAATGCTTGTAGTGGAATGAAGTTATGCACCATTGCAAATTAATGTGCTGTAAATGACAGAACAATACAGATACCTTTTCTGTGAAAGGCAGAGTAGCAGTCTTGTCCAGATGACACACTAAAGTTCAGGGGTAGAAAACCATGCCATCACTTGTTTGTCCAAGAACTTTGCATGATTTTCTCCTTATTTTGATTTAAAGGATAACTTGAAGAACACTTTGGTAGTAGATAAAATGTATATTTATACCATATTTTTTTAAAACTGTGCTTAGATAACACAAATACAGTTTTAAATCAAGCTCAAATCTTGGCATGTACATATTGAGGAACACTAAGTTACTGCTGGTAAAGTCAAAATTAAAATCAGGAAGCATTAGATGGAGAACAGTGAAAAGAAGTAGAGTGGAAAATGCAATTCAGAGAATTCTTTTCTCCAATCTATGCAAAGTAATTTGTAAAAATGAGAATTCTGAATATATTCCAGAAGATGCCAGATAAAGAACTCTCAAACTGAACTGAGAGACCTATCTGTATCACCTAAAAACTCTCTACATCCATCTCCCTACAGAGTTCACTCTGGTTCACTGTTTCCTTTGGTGCTATTGTCTGCCATGGGGTTACCATCAGAGAACACTGGTAGGCAGTACTTCCCTCTAACATCTATTTTCAACGGCCTAAATTGGTCTTCATAGGATTCCATTGTGCACGCTGCAAAGAAACTTGTCTTGTTGCCAGCTAGAACTCTGAACTACACGTCTTTCTTTTCTTCACTGTTCTTTTTTTGGTTCACAAGCAACCTCCTACCAAAAGCAGAATCTGCAGAAGAGACTACATCCAAGCAATAATGCAATGAAAAAGTATGAAGAGAAGCCCAGGTGGCCACCTTGCAAATTTCCAATGTGGAAGCCTTCGACCTCTCCGCCCAAGAAGCAGCTATAGTCCTAGTGTAATGAGCTTTACAAACCCTGGGAGCCTCTTTACCCTTAACTACATACGCCTCTCTAATACAATCCCTTAACCATCTAGCTAAGCAACTCTTAGAAGCCATTTGACCCCTCTTAAGACCCCCTAAGAGTACAAACAATCTGTCAGAAGATATGAAATCTTTGATTCTTCTGTGATAAACCCTAAGTGTTCTTCTTACATCCAATTTATGCAGCCGTTGCTCTTTGTCATTGCTGGGTTTAGGGAAAAATGAGGGCCAAGAAACCGTCTGGTTTAGATAAAACTCAGATGCCATCTTTGGGACAAAAAAAAAATTTACAAAGAGGAACCATCTGAAGAACTACTTTGTTTCTGATAGAACTTTATACATGTTCTAAATATCAAAATTGAAGTACTACAGAATATAAAACAAAATATCAATTGACATTGAAACAGCTATACATATAAATGCACCACTTGATACAAGCACATGAAAAAAAATTATTTTTGTTGCACCTCTGCGTGAGCTACATAGATTAAAAGTCTCCCATGAACACTAAAAGCAACCAAAATATAAAGGAAACAAGTATAAGGCTTCTGTCTACACAATGCCTAGGGAAACTTTAGGTGACTTGGACATTCATCACCTTTTATGAATCGGCCATCTTTACCTAGTTTGCCAGCAGTACTACTTGCAGAGCACTGACACTTCAGATATCCCTCACTGCAGAGACTGATGGGTAGGCTGGATATACCCAACCTAGCTTGAAGCCACTGAGAGTATGGGTAACTGCCCAGCACCACCAGCATTCACTTAAGTTGGGTTAATTCACTCTGTCTCTTAGACTGGTTCTGTAGCCTGTGCTGCACTGTAAACCTGACCTTTGTACCCAGGTTAATTTAAAGCTGCTTCAGACATATCTACACTCTTGACTCTGCCAAATTAAACAAGATTTCTAGTAATAAGGCTTCTAAATAAGTACTGAAGATGGCCATTATGTTGTCTAGTCACATATTACAATGTGTTCTGATGAAAATAAAACAAGGATTCTAACCAATCCTTCTTATAAAAAAACTCAGCCATCCTCAGTGAAAAAAATAAAATTATCAACCCAATACAGGACATTAACAAATCTTAAATCCTTAATCCTAAAATCTTAAATCCTTTTAGTTACTTAACACAACCTGGAACTACTGGGAACATAGCTTTCATTCTCCCACACCAAATCATCTTTCACTTCACTCCAACTGAGATTTCCAACAATATGAAAATAAAATAAGACCAATAAACCTTTCTTCTAGCCAGACCTCTTGTTAAAAATTTTTCCGGACATGTCTTCTTTTCACAAACTATCTGTAAACAGATCACTGTGAACAGTTTTGCGAATAGAACCACCTGATCAAAACAGCAACTCCAAAAACAAAAGTATGGCTGAAGACTTCCCTAAAAGCACCTGAAAAATATTTACCCTTGCTTGTTTTTCAGGGTAAGATGAATTCTGTGTTTTTTTCTGGAATGTACCTTTTACCCACAAGACTGCCTCCTACAAGGTCTACTAATATTTCCCTAACTCAGATTTGATTAAGTAGAGGTACCAATTAAGAACCAACTTGCTATGGACACTATTACTCTAAAAGAACATTTCTCAAAGAAGGCAGCTTAACACTCTTTGGAGAAATAGTTCTGGATGTAATTAAGCTTGGGAAATTTTTATTAATTAATGAAGCAGGATTATTTTTACTTCCTGGAAAGTAAAGTATTTATCGCTAATCTTGAAATTGCTAAATTCTCTGAATTACTGGAGACCACATGCCTTAGAATATAGTCACATAAATATCAAATAAATTTTGCATTCAAGACTTTGAATTTCTTTACACTTTCTCACATAATACAGTAATACAAAGTACATTTACCATTTCCCTTTCTGAGTGTATACCCAGCCCAACACATAAGGAAAACTCCACAAGTTTATTCTAAGACCTCTTTGTAGAATGAAGGCTATAAAACATAAATTATAATACATATTAATAATTTAGCATTTCTTGAGAATTAGTATCACTGACTAAAGGAGGCAGAAATACATTGAAGTCAATGAAGTCATTGAAGTCAGCAAAAACGGAATTTGAATGCACACTATATTAGAGCTTTGACGTATATCCTAAAAACATATAGGTTAACCTGTATTTCTCTATTTTGGAGTGTCAATATTAGAGGTAAAGAATACAATACCAAAAGGTGTGCCTTGGAACACTTCTTATTTAATATTTTTATTTTCATCAGTGTAGTATTCTGAGACAACATCATTCCCAAAACACCTTTCTCCTCAGCCTGCAGCTTGACTATAGAGATACTGAACATTTGATTTCACCTATCCTCTCTCCCTGAGCAGCCTGGCCTCATTTCTGGTCTGATCTTTTCCTGCAATAGAATCAAAGCTCTTGAAACCACTTCTCTCTCATGACTTGGAGTCTCCACTGGCAGAAGCAGCCAAGTAGCATAATATTTATAAGCATACTCCTGGAAGGCGTTATTCACCTGAATTTGCATGATACCCAGTTCTATTGAATACAATTAGAGGGAAAAAAGTGAGCTTGGAACCTACAGCAAATGCAAATGTGAGGCTTCATCATTTTACTGATGTAGAGCCTCCTTCTGTAACACAGCCACTGAAGCCAGTAAACACATTGCATATAGTAAGTGTGAGAAATACAGGTTAAACATGGACTATATCCTTTAGCAGTTAGTTTCATGTACACTAAGATCAACTAAACTGATATTAATGTATGTGCTTTTCTCTCTTGAAAAAGGCAGTTTTCAAAGACAAGTTCAGAAAAAGTCAGTTTCAAAGAATTCAGACTCCAAGTATTGTTGTGTCCTATATGAGACATAGGATTTTACAGAGAATCTAGTAGGAGATATCTTATTGCAGTGTTTGATAGTTTTTCATCATAGATCTCCATCAATATCTACAGTTAGTACATCACATCTTTACACACAGCAATCAGTTCTTTTCTACAAGTCATCATGCTCAAATGTAAATTGCACATTTCAAAAGCTTTTTCAGTGGATATGGAAACAAATTTATTTGAAAAATATGACGACATAAATTAGGTAATTAATGTTGAAAATAGCATAAAATTATTCTTTCGCACAAAGTAAACCAATAAATCAGAACAATCATTCATTACCTTGAACATTCTTATTCCTTTCTGTAAATGAAGGCAGCAGCAGAATTTCTGTGGAGAGCTCTTCAATTTTTTCCTCCATTAATAAGAAGAGTTTGATAAGTTGAGAAAGACATTTGAGTTGATATAAGGTTAAGCAGAAGTTCCGTCCTTTCCTGTGGTATTCCTGGGAGGCTATTCAAGTAAAATTACAAAATAGCTTTTATTATAGCTTTAAAAAAAAAAAAAAGATACTGCAAAACTGATTATGTAAGACAGTATAATGCATCAAGCAATTTAATTTTCCTTATAATGTATCTTTTTCTCATTATATAATACTGTTACATTATTTTTTTCTACGTCTTCAGAACTTCTCAATTATTGTGAGGTTCCAACTGACGTCCAGGTTTTGTTATTCATTAACTAGGATTTTTTTCCATGCCATGGAAATGTTCACTCAGGAATGTTCTCACCTGTGTTTTACAGAAAATCCACTGTGTTGCAAAAGCCGAAAGGGAAAAAACACATCATTACTGTATTTCAATGGTTTGGGACATCACATCACTTGTCACTCTGCAAATCACCTTGTCTGTTTAACAATCTGCTAGCACAATACAGTTGATGAATATGACATTTGAGTGAAAGAAACATCAATCTAACACTCCACAACTTTAAATATGTGGGGTTTGAAAACAAGTGAGACTGTCAGTGAGCAAATATCAGCAAGTATTATAACTATCAGCATTTGGTATTTAAAAGAAGAAACCGAACATTTTATTTTGAAAGGTTAACACATGCACTCATAACATATAATCATGTCACATCAACCAGGGAACTCTGATTTCAGCACAGTCAGACTATAAATGACTGCGAGACGTTTCCAATTCAGTATTACCAAACCACATGGGTTTAAATACTTTAATTTTATAATGTCTTTAAATGTAACAAATTTGCACTTCTATGCAAATTGCAGTGAGCTGATACCATGATCCTACGCAGTTCTGCCGCAGATGTAACATCAACAGAAAAGTTAATCTAGAAAGTGTCAGGGGGAGAGCCAGAATACTTTGAAACAGAAGCCCTGAAAGATGAACACAAAAAGAAATTTATTGAAATGTACTTTTATGTGTCATATCTTTCTGACCTTTGCAAATTTTAAGTACCTTGTATCTTCTTTTTCCCTCAAAGTTTCTAAATATTTTAGGCATTTACAAATCACTTTTAAATAGACATAGAGCTAAGTAGGAGAGCTAATTCCATAATTTGCTATTCCAGTTTTACAGCATTAGAGACTGGACTGCAGGTTTTGCATCCACATCTGAAGTTCCAAACAGATGTATTCATGTTAGTTCCTTGCATTTCTAAGAATGTCAAAAGAGTTAAACATAATTGCCTCTGTTAGTGTCTTTCCTCTCTGAATAATAAGTAAATAACAGATCTATCACTGGATTTCTAATTTTAAGTCTTAAACCTACAAAAAAAAAATCACATTCACAGGAGTTTACTCCTTATCTGAAAACCAGAGAATATAATCTGAGTTTTAATTGACATGAAAAGACTGCTTGAGTCTGCAGTGTAACCACAAAACACATCCTAAAAATGAACAGAACATTAGTTCTGTCTCCTATAATTAGAAAATCTTGTGATATTTCTGCCCCATCTATGGAGGAACAAGGAAACAGTCCACTTATTTGATTGCCTCAAATGATATCGTCCTTATTAGACTGAAAGAAAGTGGACGTAGAAGACAAAGGTATATCACAGTGATGCTATGTTTAGAATACATAACCAAACTCAGAAAAAGTAAAAACTTTACTTTTAATGATCATTCAGAATATATTTCAATTTTATTGTTTCTCAGAAATAACAACTCATTTATTTAGTGCTTGATGCTCAAGTAGTGTGCACACACCTGAGTATCCAAAGCTTGACTGAAAGGCCTTCTATACATACAGATCATTAGGTTTAAAATACTGACAGCAGCATTTAATTTTGAAGAACACTGACCAGCCTGCTTGAACAAGCACATCACTGTCCATTTTTTAGCAGAGTAGAATGAAAAGACACCTCTCTTCTGGCATTGTTCTGATTGGATAACCACAGAACAGAAACCTTGAAGAACTGTTTAACAGCCAAGAGCAAAGCAGCCAATGTGATGACATAGACAACAATCTCAAAACAGATTTATAAATCTTGTAGAAGATTGTCATGAAGAGAACGTGTCTCCATGTGGACAGATGTGAAATAGACATGAAGGCTGTGATATATGTTCAACCAAACCTCAGTGACATCAACCTGTTTGGAGGGAAATTTGCCATATTCACAAAGTAGAGTATGCTTACTCTGAAAATGTTACCGAATGGATCATGACTTGGAGGGTTAGGTCAGAAAAGTAATATAACTCATTTACCCAGGTGACACTGTGCATTGTTCTTGTTAGTATTGTTGTAGTATTCTATCCAATCCACAGGGTGGCTGAAAGCCCATGAAGCTGATCTCAGCCAGCCACGAACCAGTTAAACAAGGGCATTCCAGTCTAACTGCACGACAGAAAGGAAATGGAGGAAGCTACATGATACAAACCAACTTCCTTCCTGAACCACCTGCAATTTACTACTATCATTCTTCTAAATTAGATTTTTTCTGCATGTCTGACTTTAATTCATGTAGTCCCTGTACAAGGAAACAGCTGCAGCAGGATCTTTGGATACAGACAAAAATAAAATGGATCTCTATAGTACATCCTAACAACAGGATATGTTGGCTTTCTGCTAAAGCAATACCTAGAGAGAATTTCTGAAAAGGGACAGAAAGGCTGGTACAGAGGCTACAGAGAGGTGAAGTGCATTCTACAGCCTTTGCCAATGTGCCAACGAGCTGATTTAGAAGTATTGCTCAAAAAAGGTTGAGATCAGAATCTAAAAAAACAGAGGAATAAAAAAAGGTTTTGATCTTCTGAATACAGCCCCAGGCTTCTGTCTGTGCAAAACAAGGATCACACCAATACTGCTGTACAAAACCAGTGCCTACACTGATGATTTCTAAACTGCTCTGGAGGCCAAATCTGCTAGCAGAAATATCCTAAGTCTGGAAAATGAGCTATCTTGAGATACAACAGGAAAGATTCAAACAAATACAGCGTCAGGGACCACTGAAGTCCCTGACAGGGAGTCAAGCATGGTAATACAGCCATCAGGACAGGCTCCTTGCCAGCCAGGGGCCAATCATGCAGATCCCAAGTAAGACAGACCCTGACATGATAGGTTTCAACCAAGATCCAGATCATCAGCCAAGTTAATGGTGATGACACAAATCTGAAATCGAGTCAGGAAACTAATTCACCCTTTTGAGTCTGGGTCTGGTCTGGTGAAGGTAACCACAAGTCAGGCAGAGTTTAGTGACCACTCAGAGGAACCACAGTGATAATGCAGGTTAAAGTTCATGGCAGGAAAATTGAGTAAATGGGGTCCACAGCTCTGGGGTAGATGAACAACAGGACACCTGTGATGTAGTGCAAACAGAGACTGAGGACTCAGGTGCAGGCGAAATAGATCTCCTGGGCAGGCTGCTGTGTAGGTCCCTGAAAAGGCTGGTCAGGGCCTTCAGGCTCACTAATGCATACAAGGCTTTGTAGCATAGCTCTTAAGGAATTTGATTTTTCAAACAAAACCTCAGAAAAAGTGGGAAACTGTCCTCCTGCTTCATGGAGGACAGCACAACTATTTTGCTAAGAGGAAAAAAGAGTACTTGAGGTTTCTCCAGTTCTTTCTGGGGGGATAGGAAGAAGAAGACTAAAAATTACTTGAATTCACTTGAACCACCACTGCATTTATTTGTAGCAAGTAAATAAATCTTGACGATTCATTACACAAAACTGGAATGAAGCAAAGCAATAAGCTCAAAACTTCCATGCAATTTAGATAATCTGTACTCTTGAGTTCTTACCACATAGAGGCAGAGGGGACCTGAAAGATATTTAATTTCTTCAAGCATGCTGATTTACTACCCCAACTATCAAAAAACAGGCACCAGAAGTCTGTCAACCCAAACAACATTACTCTTAGAGAGTTTTCCTAACAGAAAAAGAAGGCTCAAAAGAAGGGTGTCTATCAATTTATGCAAGGTTTGCGTGCTGGTGCCAAGGCAGCTGATGCAGTTATACAACACTGGAGAAACTAGGGGTATTATTTTCAGGTTTGGCCTTTCATTTTAGCAGAAGTGAAGCTGAAGAAATTTTCCTTAGATCTGAAGGACATGCCACCCTTGTAGAAGAATAAAGCTGTCCATTTTACCAGAGACCATTTGGCTGGATGTAGCTGGACAGATGGTATCATAGAATTTCACTTCACCAGTGATGAAGTTGAGAGGTGCTCATATGAATTCTAAGACAGCTAATCAGTTAATTAAGGCATTTTTCAAATGACATAAAATGAAAGACATTCTATAAAGCACTTGGTTATAGTACCTGACCTTCTCCTAAGTACTTAAATTCAGTAGCAAGGTATCTGCCTTTATCTTAGCACTTTTAAAGATTTTTCCCTCATCTTTGAAAAGGAAGATGCGTAAGAAATAAGGCTGAAGTAGATCTAGATGACCTGTGTATATCTACTAATTTGTGATTTTAGAGCAAGTTTAAAAAGTGATACTTTCCTCAAAGCTGCAGCTCTTGAAACCATTAAAAATAGTGTTCCAACTCCCTTGGTTATAGCCTGGAGGCTATAAAAATAATGCTTGGAGGCACTAAAAATCTCAAAAGGCATAAAAAACCATGTATGAATGAGACACATAAACTAAATGTAACTTTTGTTATTATTTTCTCTGTATATTTTTTTAATGAGCATGGCACCTCTAATGTTTTAAAGAATTTTGAATTTACAACATCTCAAAAAATGAGCACCTAATTCTGATCATTTCAACTCATCCAGGTGTGTGACACAGTAAAGTGTGGCGCAGAAATACCAGCATCAGACATGAGCTAGCTCTAAATGGTAAAGAATAACCACATTATGACAATGTTGCTGGAGGATTAATTAGCCTTTACTACTCACTCTACAGAGCCACATGGCTAAACTGCTTCTGAGACTCATGGTGAAATCCTTGGAAAGCAACCTGATGACTGTTTTCTTCAGTGATTACAGTAGGGATTTGTTTCAGCAGGAACCAAGGGTCTAAAACCCTCTTAAACAATTATACTA